TCATCAGATAGTGTCTTCTTCACTTCTTCTCCAATATATAGGGCGAATCATGAGATTTGGCAAATACATCTTTTGGTCATAAGTTTCCAACATATTTTTCGATTTGTCTGATTTTTTTATCGAGTATTCCGCTACTACTCTCTAATCGACTGACCTATGTAAAATCTGGAAAATCCAGGACCGTTCTTGAAAAATTTTGATAGTTCAATTTAGAGCAAAAAGTTTATCCTGTACATCGTTTTTGTAAACTGTGACAATAAATTTTCAAAGGTCACAAATCAACATAAAAGATAAATTATTCCAAATTTTCCTCACCGTTCCACTGCAGTTTGAAAAAATCTATAAATTTTATGATAAAACGAAAATTTGGCAAAAATTCTTTTTATTCGGAAATGAATACTTCGCAACTATGAATGAAAGTGATTCTCACATTTTCAATGCTTCAGCTTAATGGAAATCAACATATTATTTCATTTTCAGGCCTGGATTTAGTATTTAAATTTTTTTGTGGAAGATAAAGAACACCTCGTAGATTTGTTTCGAATCAGTAGATGGGGTATCTGTGAAAATGTTAATTACCATCGCTATCAATAATTTTATGATTTCAACTCGTAGTTTTATCAGTTCGATTTGTTTGCTCACTTATTTTCCGTACTGAAATAATTATTATCCGCCTTTGTCAGTATGGCATTTTAAAAATAATTGTGAATAAATCTTCATTCTCTGTTCGACTATCTCGCATTATTTGAACCATTGAAAAAACAAATATCCCATCCACTGATTGAAAAAAGATCTACAGGGTGATTATTACCCTCCACATGAAATGAAATGACGAAATTCAGGCCTGAAAATGAAAAAACATGTTGATTTCCATTGGGCTGAAGCATTGAAAATGTGAGGCTTACTTTCATGCCTTGCGAAGCAATTATTTGTTGTCAAACTTTCGTTTTTGCTAATAATTTATCGTGTTTTGGAAAATTCTGTGGAAGTGTGGGATGAATTCCTAATATTTTATTTCTGATGCTTGTTTGTGTGCTTCGAAAATTCCCTGTCACAGTTTCCAAAAACCATATACAGGATGAACTTTTTGATAAAAACTGAACCATCAATATTTTTCAAAAACGGTCCTGGATTTTCCCGATTCTGGAAATGTCAGTCGATTAGAGTTCAATAGAGAAATATTCCATGCAAAAATCAAACGAATAGAAGGAGCTGTTGAAAAGTTATGACCTAAAGATGTTTTTGCCAAATCTCATAATTCACCCTATATATTGGTAAATGAGAGAAGAAGATACTTTCTGATGGTCATCAGGTATTCTACTCCCTTTTGGAGATTCAGAAGAATAAAAATGATCTCATGACTAATTCATGTGTTCACAGTTACCAGACTAGAAAAGCAGATAATCTCAGATTACCCCGCTTTAAATTTACAAAATCGGCAAAAAACTCTATAGATCTGAATTTTTATAATGTTCTTCCTATAAGAATATAAAATCGTTGAGTCCCACCAGATTCAAGTCAGTTATAAAAAATTATATTTTGATACACTGCTTTTACACTTCAGGAGATTATTTACTGTCTCCATTCGACTCCTTATTGAGAAACACTTACTAATTTTAATTGAACTTAATTGTGTGTGCGTGTGATTGATATTCGTTCATCCATGTGGGATATGTTCGTGATCTACTTATTTATTGTTTCAATTTTATATATTTATTTACTCAAATTTCGTTGTTTCAGTGAATTTGTATTGTACATGACTTGCCAAACACTAAATGTAAATTGGTTGAATAAATCTATTCTATTCTGTATGTCCCAAAAGCATGTAAATTGTAAATACATTATATTCCATCAAACGGCACCTGTTCCGATCACTATCCTGAGCAAAATTTTTGAAAAATGCACTTTCCTGTGCAGTGATTCGCACTTTATTCTGATCTGGAGAATCTACCTGTGACTCAGATCAAGAGTTGGCACAGCTAGGTAGGTTCTTGAGAACTACCATTCAATTTCTATCGGATGACCTAATTTTCAACTCGTCATCAAATCACGAAATTGACTGCAAATCAACACACAGAGAAGTGCGATTTTTCAATCATTTTGCTCAGGATAGTGATTGGCACAGGTGGCGATCGTTAAAAACAATGTTTTCACATGTCTTTGGAACACGTAACATTTCATCTCCAGATGACGGTCAGTATTTGCTGCTGGCTCTCCAACTATAAGTAGCCTGAACAACTAGGTCGAAAAGTTTCAACGCAAGATTACCGAAAACACAATTTTCCATCGGATATTCATAAGGACGATACTGAATAAATTCTGAATGATTTATGGCCATTTCAATCATTCACAAAGGCGATTTTCAGAAAACCCGTAAAGGATTTTACATATGAATAAACACAATTCAGCAGTTATTAGAATATAACTGGGTATAGTGGATTCCGAGGTTAATCATCAATGAAAAAGTTGTAGAAATATTCCAATACGTATTCCTTCTCTCCATATCCTTCCTAGCGATTACCTACGGTGCAGTCCAAAAAACATAAGAGAAATCAAACGAATTTCAGGAATCATATGTTTTTCATTGTTAGCCATCGTACCTGTATCAGTACATGAAGTAATATTTCCCTACCGATGTAGATTTGCTCACACTCCGTATGCTGAAACACCTTATTTTTGAATATTAATCAATTTTCTGTGGTTGTTTTTCAATATCCATGGATCATAGTTTCGATAACTTTTTATTTCAATTTCATAAATAACTAGAACATCAGCAAACGATAAATTTTCAGTTGCTTCATTACCATTGTTTTATTGATCAATATTGGTGGGACTCGAATTTATTTAAAGTTTTTTTTTGTGATAGAAGGTTCTCGATCAAATTTACTCCTGCTATAATTCCTGAAGAGATTTGCAATTTCGACTCAAATCACCACAGACAGGGTGTTGAGTAGAAGCATTACACATCTGATCTATTTAATTCTTTCTGATCCCAGTAGATCTTTTTTTTGAAGCAACCGTCTAGGAAGTACCTTCTTCTTGGACGCTTTTTCTTTGAGAAAGTTGCATTTCCTGAATGTGGAGAATCACATTGTTGTTGTCATTGTAAAAATGAATATCTTGATCGGTATGGTTATGCTAAATTCAGATAACCATAGCAGTGAAGTAACGACTTTTTGATAGTATGTATGGCTTTTGGTCGCAGTTGACGCAATAAACTATGGAAATCAGCAGCAATAGTGAATATGAAAATGTGCTTCATGAAATTCCGAATGCAGCAGCTGCTGCTACAGCACAATTGATGTTTTTCAATATTGAAATGAGATTCGAAACTTTCTCAGCTTTGTTCTACAAAAAAATAAGAGTTGAATTTGTCTCATTGATTTGTTATTCTACACGATATCCCGAAAAATAGTGAACGCAACAAGTTATTTTTCGGAATTTTTACTTACACTACTATTCTGTCACCTCAAGATACGCAATAAACTATGGAAATCAGCAGCAATAGTGAATATGAAAATGTGTTTCATGAAATTTCGAATGCAGCAGCTGCTGCTACAGCACAATTGATGTTTTTCAATATTGAAATGAGATTCGAAACTTTCTCAGCTTTGTTCTACAAAAAATAAGAGTTGAATTTGTCTCATTGATTTGTTATTCTACACGATATCCCGAAAAATAGTGAACGCAACAAGTTATTTTTCGGAATTTTTACTTACACTACTATTCTGTCACCTCAAGATACATAGATTGATTGGGACTTCATTGTCATACATTTTTGAAATTTCTCCCCAATTCACAATTGGATGCAAAATACCTAGATAATTCTTTGCAAGTTTTATCGTGAAATACCCTGTATTTCTGATTACAAAAACCGCGAGTAAGTAGATACATTTATCATTCCAGATTTTTTGGGATATTCTTTCCTCGTTTCTATCAAATGAAAATATGGATATTATTCAATATACGTGTAGTAAGGACAAATCAGATGATTTGCCCCAGAATGTCACTGCGTTTGAAGACTTTTTCTATCAGAGGGCCTGAAAGAAAAATTCATCAGCTTGTCAGTGACAATTTGTATTGAAAAAAGATTGGAGAAGAGAAATAAAGGTATATAGAAATAATATCAAATTTTTACTCAGCTTTGGACGTTTCGGGAACGAACCTGCTCCTGTTTCTAACATGAAAAATGGATTCTTTGTATCGCAACTTCGTATTTGTCGTGACACTCTCCAGTTTTCAGTTGACGTTGGCAATCGAATGAGTTACATGATGTTTTCATTGATTGATCTTGAATTTATCATTTTCATTTTCAGATTCCAATAGTGAATACCATGTTCTTTGAACGCAGTGACATTTTGGGGCAAATCATCTGATTGGTCCTCACCACACGTATATTGGAATAATATTCATATCTTTATTTTATAGAAACGAGGAGAGAAAATCCCAAAAAATCTGGAATAATGAATGTACCAACTCCCCGAATAACCTACAGATAATATTTAGGAAGATACATTTGTTTTCAAATGCATAGTTTCGAAAAAAGTGGTAAAGTCAGTTTATTGGGAAATGTAATAAGCACCATTTTATATCAATACAAAACGCACTTGCCTTCATGCAATAAAGTGAATCGAAATCCTTTCAGATTCAAAGTTTTTGCTGCATATCCGCATATTACTCTCGACCAATTCAAGATAATCACACATTACATTAGAGAAATATGTAACGAACATACAGATAATCTAGACCACTTGCATTTTCTACTGACGTTCGCACAAAATAAGAGGACTCAAACCAGCCACATTTCATTTTCAGACGCTCGAAAATCAGTTTCACTGTCCGCAAAACAATCAAGAAGAAAAAGAAATCTCACTGCGCCAAACCCACAATACTCGCAAGCAGGTGGGAATCGAAATTTTAACACACACTCGGCAAAGAGATGAATTTTGTAGGTCAACACACCGACCGAGGAAGAGTAGGGTGAATCTCTTAGCAGGTCAATGAAAGAAAGGTCACAGCCAGTGTCAAGATATGGTATAAAACAAGAAACAAAGATTGGGAAGATCATCAGTTTGGCATTGATCAACGCGTACTGGGTCTCAGTGACAATGAAGAAAATCGTGCTAGTGTTGTTTTTCGTGATCGGTGCTTTAGCACAGGACAGTTTCGATAACGCTGGTGTTCGTGTAGCCCTCAAAATCTACGATGATTGTTCGAAAGCTGACGGATTCACCCCTTGCCTCAAGAAAAAAGCAATCACCTTCTTGGACAGGCTCGGAAGAATGGATAAATTCTCCCTAGCAGAAGGAGTAGTAGTCTCTAAAGCATCCGACTCACCTAAAGAAGGACCAGTAATCACCGAAGAAACCCTGGAGCAAACCCTACCCAGAGCAGCTGATGCCAAAGATGAAGCCCTCAGCAACCTCCTACTCGAGAAGGTCACCAACTTCATTGGATCCAGGTCCGTAGAGGTCTCCCTTCCAAAAATCTCTGGAAGAGAACTAGCAGAGGATCTAGGAGTTGAAGAAGGTAACACAACCCCCTAGCTCACACCCTGAACAATACCTAAACCCATTTTGATTTTTTTCTAGGGAGGAAGAAGAACGGTGGAGGTGGCGGTAAAGGAGGCATGAAGGGCATGATGGGAGGAATGATGATGGGCATCGCAGCCAAGATGGCCGCTCTCATTCCTATCGCCATCGCAGGACTGTTCCTGTTGGCTGGTAAGGCTCTGATCACTGCCAAGATCGCGCTTCTTCTGTCTGGAATCATCGCCATCAAGAAGCTGTTGGGATCGAAGCAAGGGGGTGGTGGAGGCGGACACGGAGGTGGTGGATGGCAGTCCAGCGGAGGTCATGGGGGTGGAAGCGGGGGGTGGCAGTCCAGTGGCGGCGGCTGGGACAAGCGGTCCATCGAGGAAGCGCAGAATTTGGCTTACAATGCGTACGCCCCAAAATGATTTAGTCACTAGATGATATGTTTTTTGTGTACAAATGTTTTGTTTGACCGATTTTTTGGTCAGTTTTAGTTTCTTCTTTGTTACTGTATGACCTTGACTCTTGACTTATTGACGAGACTTGCAGGTAGTTTTTTGTTGTTGATGTAATTTGTTGTAATATTTATTTCGATATTTATATTATTTATTGTGTGACGTGACGGAAGACAGGACTTACTTACGAATTTACCAGACAGTATTTTCTCTTTTTCTCAATAAATAATTTCTTCACAAAGAATGTGTTTGATTCGAAACATATATTATCACATTGAAAAACTATTACCTACTCATTGGTTGCAACAATTGACTTGTTCGGTTGTTTTGCTCAATCAGCTGAGATTGTTTAATTCAAATTCAATATCTCTCAACTTAATTTATATAAACAATCAGGGTGAGGAAAATAACAGCCATTGATTTTCTCAATTCAATGAATAGAGTTCAATGTCAAAGATGAATATGTTCTTTAGCATCCTGACCTATACAGAATATCATTTGTGTAGTATACGATCTTCACGAATATCGAACGGTAACTTGTAAGTGAAAATATTGTTTGCAGAATTTTTTTAGAAAACAGTGAAATCTTCATTTTCCCACATTCTTTCTATGAGAGCACATAAACCACTCTTCTCGGAAGAATAGAGGATATGTGCTACTTTTCCTTTTTTCTAATTATCTACTTAGTCCATACAAGTACAAAGCAGAAACATCTCCACTGATCTCTCTGATAATTTCTCTCACCTTTTTCAAACGTTTCAGGTAATTATGTACCGAGTAACGCTCGTGGTGCATACAATATTTTATTTTTCAAGAAAAAATTATCTCAAAGGAGTCGTTTATTCCATAAATTTCTTATCATAGTATACCAGGTGGAATTCACATGGGGTATATAATAAATAGTAGCGCACTTTACGAACTAAACGACAATGTTTTTCAACCACCTGTTTGACCGGAAGTGACTCTAACTTTTTTTTTAAATGTCACCCTGTACATTTCATCAGTCTATCTATCACAAAGTGGCATTCATTTCTTAATTCGCTGTTGAATTGCTTTTTATTCAAAAAAAATAAGTTGGCTGTGACATGAATTCGATGACATATCGACACTTGGTAGGCTTTGAAATTTAAATATCATTACTAAACCGATATTATTCAAAATATTTCGATATTCTGATCAATGTGTGCAGGTTGTCAATAGCTTGTTTGAGTGAAGATGAAAACATTCGAAAGTAACTCATGATATTGAGGAATCTAAGATCGGAACATATTTTTTCGAATTCAGCTACTCAAAGAGAAACTATCTGTCTTTTATTATCGCCATGTACAGTCATCTTCAGAAAACATATCGCACATGGATGATGATAGTTTTCTTAATAACATCTGCAATGAGAGCGCTGACACCGTCCAACCGCGACATGATCTCTGAAGACGACTGTACCTACCACAGGATCTTCCCATTTGGAATAATGAAACTGAAATTGTTCCTCTTATACGATGATCCACAGGGCTATCAGTCTAATTTTTCATAATTATTTCACTTAGAAAGCGGTGTACCTACACAAAATGTTTTATGTGTTTGGCAGTTAATCGATTGCATCAATAATTTTTCTTCTCCATTTGTGTGTTGATTAAAATTGCATATTATCAATAGAGACGGAAAATGTATTCAAAAAACGAAAAAGTCGATATGTTATTAGTTAGTATGAGATAAAAAAGGCAGTGAGAGGAATGTATGGAAACATTGATATAAAAAAATATCATGGGTTCGTGTCAAGATCACTAGAGCATCAAAATTGATAGTTATTGGTAACAATAAACTTCTCCATTAAATTCAGACAGAGAAATATGCATGAAATTGATAATAATTAATTAATCTTGATTAGTAGGACACATTCTGGAAATCTCTATTCAGACTTTCATAAAACTACAGTTTTTATTAGGAACTCAATATACTAGCATGAAATGAAATGAGTAATGCAATTTCAAATCAGGAATCAGCAATTGATGTCTAGGAATTTAGTAACCTAAATGTCAATTCATAGGTTGGGTTCTCATTATATAGTGCAGAAAAAGTAAGTTGAGAAATAATGAAACACTCCATTGCAGGAAGTTTGTGCCCATTTCCTCAATTTTTTGATAAACCTCGTGCAGAATTGAAACCATCCCTTTCAATAAGTGTGAACCTCTTGAATCAATGACTCCAAAAGTATTATCATCATATTTAGTTATTATCATCAGGTTTTCTTCATAGTGAGTATGAGTGTACTAGATGTGATGTTTCTGACTGAAGCATCAGGTAGTGACCTCTTTGAGGAAACAACGGTGTTAGAAGTGGAGAACTACGTATTTCCTAAGGTATATAACAAAACGAATATAGTAGTTTCACTGCCAAATGCTCACTATGTGTGAGTGTATACCAACAGATGTCGCTACCAACAACCAATAAGTCTTTTCTGAAAAAAAAAATAGATGGGTACCTTCGCACTGAATATTAAATATGTACCCTATACATGAGAAAAAGAACTTTGTGTTCATTTTCCGAGATAATTCAGGAAACTATTGAATTTTGAAGCAAAAGTAGAAGACAACCGTGAGTTGCATGAGTATCACCGGAGAATATAACTGAGTATGGAAGAAATATTTCGAAAATCATCGTTGATTGTAATGAGACGATCTGTGATGAATTAAAAAGATTTCATAGCAATTTCTGGAGTTTATTATCATGTACCTGAGATATATAAAACCTTTACTGATAATTGATATACGTGTTAGAGTTCAGATACAACTTATGAAGTTATGAAATATTGATTGTTGTCTAATCTTTACTATACTATTGAAAAGCTTGCTTTAAAAACATAATGAGCAGCAGACGACATAGTAGCCTTTTTCACAACCGATTACTATTATTGAAACAGTACCTACAATTTCGGTCAGAAAAAGTGGTTATTCAGTTCCACATGAAAAACCTCTTAGTACATGCATTTTCTTATCATCTTCAGTCAAATCATCCTAAGAATAGGTCAAGCGTAAACATATCAAACGATTACAACTCACTAGCTTGACACTGAAAGGCATTTCAATCCAGAATGCGACTGACTACACTTCTAGCATTTGTTTCAAGTGTCATTTTGTGTGAAGTAATGATTTGTTCTCATGCATCCATTTTGAATCAGAGCAGGATCTTTGCATTGGATACTGTTGCAGAAAGTGAGTACCAATTGTTTTTCGATTTCAATGGACTCAACAATAAAAAAGAGATATACCTTCACATTTAAACTGTTTTTGATAAGAAAAATAGTCATGAGCATCCATTTGCTTTGTGGACGGCACCATATGCTTGAAAATGCCACCAAAATACTTTGGAAAATTCATAGTGGTTACCCTGTATAACCTGATGACAAAATTCATTCTGATCTGTGGATGATATTATCTTCATGATTCACGATGCTGAAGGAAGATGACATTTTGATTCTCACCATCAATATTATCACCATATACAGGGTGTTTCATTGGGAAAGGTAAATAATTCAACTGTGTATAGGGGTCACTGAGGTGATTTCAAAAAAATCCATGGTTAATGGGTCTTCTCATTACCGAGATACGGGACGTTTCATCAGTTTTGCCCATATATTCATTGTCTCATACCTTTCTAACCAACCTGTTTATTTTTTTTCAATTAGTAGACTCACTCAATCTATCCTGTGGAATTGATTGAGGCATCAACAAAAGATAGAATCTAGGTCCGGCTTCACTTAAAATTCACAATTTTTTTCTGCCCAAAAACAACACACTATACATGTGAATTTCTCAATAGTTTGGCCATATCTGAGGAGAGCATCAAGATGTGTATTCAACGATGTACTTATTATTTATGCACAGACGATTTTTAAAACTCATATTATGTGCTCGAAATATTATTTTTGCTCATTTTGGGGTATAAAGTGAAATCAGACGAAGATTTATTGATTTTATTACTTCCTATTCAGTCTACGTGAGTATAACGTTTAGGAGAAGTGTTTCATATCGTTTTTGGATCCATCCAGACTATTAGAAAATATAGGAGCAGGTCCGTTATCAAAACTATACGGGGCTTTTCACGATGAGCGTTAATTAGTCGTTTTTGGCAAACCAGGCAACAGCTACATCTGAAAATTCAATGGTATATATAAATCAACATAATCTACATGTCTGATATATATAAAACGATCCGGCGTTGCCACTTCTACTAGAAAGTAGCAGCAACTTCGATTTTTCAAATGGGACACCCTACCCTGTATTCCATTACATTCTTGGATATTTCCTGAAGAGCTTATTTCATCAATCCAAAGCATTCGGTATCTAGCAGGACTGTTAACTGAGGTATAGGGTGTGAAAAATCGAGATGTTTCGACTTTAGAAGTTTTTTGGGTTGGAACTATATTCATTATTGCATAGTCAAAACGTTTTTCATGTCCCTATCTTGACTTTCCATTCACTTTCAATTGGAATTCAATCGGAACAGATACAGGGTGGTGCAGAATTCTGAATTATGAACCACCCTGTATTTGTTTCGATTAAATGTCAGTAGATGAGGAATACAAAATAAAGATAGGGACATGAAAGCCGTTTTGATCAATAATAAATATTTTCGTCACAAAATATTCCTTAAGTTGAAACATCTACATTTCTCACGCTCTGAATATATCACATATTAGTCCGAGTATTATTCCCACTAGACCCCGAACGTTGTGGATCGATGAAATCAGCTCTTCAGGAAGAATCCAGGGTGTCCCATTTGAAAATTCAAAATTACTGCTACTTCCTAGTAGAAACGGCAACGCCAGATCTTTTCAAATATTTGAGACGTGTTGATTATGCTTATTCAAACATACCTTCGAATTTTCAGATTTACCGTTTCCTGGTTTGTCAGAAACGTCTAATTGAAGCTCATCGTGAAAAACCCTGTATAATTTTGATGACGGACCTGCA